AAAGTTGGCGCCTGTAGCTCCAGCCCCGGAGTCGGTGCCTATACAAGGAGCCGCATCTTAATTTCTGGAGCCACAGGTTGGCCACCCCTGCTCTAGCAATATTTTTATACTCCTCCCTAGTCATCTGTTCAGATTTCCACTTGTAAGCTTCCTTTTAAGTTTAAGCTCACCGAAGATTTCACTATTAAGTCAAGCTGGTCGCCTGCCATATTTGCTATTCTTTCTACACATCGGGATGGTTTGCTCCTGCGCCCTCAATGGGTCTTTCTTAAAATACAGCCAGCTCTCCTGGACTCCTTTCCCCTTCATATTAGCCTCCCAGGGGATTCCTGCCCATCAGTTCCCTAAGGGAGTCTAAGTCTGCTTTTCTGAAGTCCAGGGTCAGTATTTTGCTACTTTCCTTTCTTCCTTTTGTCAGGATCCTGAACTCAACCATCCCATGGTCACTGCTGCCTAGATTGCCACCCAGTTCTACTTCCCCTACCAATTCATCCCTGTTTGTAAGCAGCAGGTCAAGAGGAACACGGCCTCTAGTTGGTTCCTCCAGCAGTTGTACCAGGAAGTTGTCCCCAACACTCTCCAAACTTCCTGGATTGTCTATGCATTGGTGAATTGCTCTCCCAGCAGATGTCATGGTGATTGAAGTCCCCCATTAGAACCAGGGCCTTTGATCTGGAAACTTCAGTTAGTTGTCCGAAGAAAGCCCCGTCTACTCATCCTTCTGATACGGTGTCTATAGCACATGCTCACCATAACATCACCCTTGTTGTTCTTGCCTCTAAACTTAACCCAAAGACTCTCAGCAGGCTTTTCTCCAGTTTCAAAACTGTTTTCAGTCTCTCTACACAGGTACTACTGCAGAGAAGGATTTGGAAAAGCCCTCTGAGGGAAGGGATCAGAAGGAGACCCCATCATCCAGAAGGCATTGGATGCATTGTCCTAGGGATGGGGGTTCCACGACCACAACTCCCAAGAGGAAGAGACGGGTGGTGGTGGTCGAAAGGGGGACAGAGTCATTCATCTGCCGACCAGACCGGGAGGCTTGAGAACTGTGCTACTTGCCTGTAGCTAGAATCCAGGATGTGTCGGAGTGTCTGCCGAGTCTGATCAAGACCTCGGACCGCTACCCTTTCCTACTTCATCACGTGGGCACCAATGATACTGCCAAGAATGATCTTGAGTGGATCACTGCAGACTACGTGGCTCTGGGAAGAAGGATAAAGGAGTTTGAGGAGCAAGTCGTGTTCTTGTCCATCCTCCCTGTTGAAGGAAAAGGCCCAGGTAGGGACCATCCAATTGTGGAGGTGAATGTGTGGTTACACAGGTGGTGTCGGAGAGAGGGCTCCATCTGCATTGCGGGTACATAGGTTCTCTTCTTTCTTCTTCTGGAGGTCACATGCTGCCAATATTCTTCCCTGTGCTGTGCTGCAGTCTCTGATTCTTCTGCATATTGTGCTTCCAACACCAAACACTGACTTCTATCCAGAAAATGTTCATGTTCTCTGATGCAATGCAGGATTGACACTTGGTTCTCTAGTCCTTGAAGCTTCTCTTCCAATATGCAGACCAGCTTGCACTTTGTACAGACAAAGCCTTCCCTCCAATCAACCACTCAAGGTCCACCTGGAACAAAGCACTCCCAAGTCACACTTTTCAATCAGACACCCATCCGGTCAAACAATCACTATTCAAACAAACAAGCACAAGGTCAAACCAATGGTCACAGCAGACAGATACTCGAATATTCACAACACAGCCCCCCTAATGCAGCACTCACCTTAGCTCCTCTCCGAGGATTCACAGGCAAATTCCCTCTGTTTGCTTGTCCTCTGTACGGTGGTTCTTTGCACCGGCATGTGGTTAATAACTCAGAGCAACTGGCTATAAATAAACACCAGCAGGAGGTGGTGGATCTGGGCTGATATCTGAGATAAAAGCAGACCAAAAGCAGCCTGTGTTGTCTTTTCGCCTCATCCCCCCCTTGTTGCTTCCCCTTTCCAAGTGGGTTTGTCCATTGCATGGACGCACTGGGTGACCTTGGGTAAGTCATTACCCCGCACCGTGCCTCAGTTTTCCCCTATGTAAAACGGAGAGACTCTTTCTCCCTTTGCCTGTTGCCATGACACTTTGGGGTCACAGACTGTCTCACTGTGTGTCTGTACAGCATCGAGCGTGATGTGGCCCTGATCTCAGTCAGCTCTGGGCAGCACCCGGCGCAGCAGGATCCTGATCTCGGTCAGCTCTGTGCAACACCTGGCACAATGGGGGGCCTGATTTTGGTGGGTTCTGGGTGCCACCTGGTAAAATGGGCAGAGCCAGATTTCTGATTAGCCACAGGAGGCACGTGCCTAGGGACGCCGGCATTCTATGGGGCGCATAAAAATTCAAATTTTGCCACTCCCAGGTCCCAGCAGGGGGCGGAGCTGGCTGAGTGGGAGACAGCCCCACACAGCCCTGCTGCGGGAGCGCTCCTTGCTCTGTACGGCAGACAGCGTCACCTCCCAGGGGGCCCAGTGAGTGCGGGCCGGGGGGCAGGGCTTGGGAGAGTGGGTCTCTGGGGGAGTTCATGGGGCAGCTCTGGGCAGAGGGGGTGTGAGGTGCTGGACAGTTGTTGGAAGGGCGCTGGGCAGCAGGGCACATAAAAGTTAAAAGTGGTGGGGGTCCCCTGCCAACCAAGGTGGTTAAGAGCTTCTGAGCAGCAGGGGTACCCTGCAGTTCCCAGCTGAAACCAGGCAGCAGGGGCCCCTGGAGCTCCAAGCTGGGGAGGGGGATGACTGCCGAGCCCCTGTGCCTAGGGGCACCCTAAGTATAAATCCAGCCCTGACAATGGGGGCTCCTGGTCTTTGTTCCTAATACTCACAATAAAATACCCAGTTGCCCTGGTCAAAAGTCAAGTTCCCAACTGGAATCGGGTAAAAATATGAACAGGGATCCCAGCTGGGGCTGATTTCCCAGAGCAGCAGGTTTCTAATTTTTAATTCCACCATCGGCAGGGCACTGACTGGCCATTGGCCCAGGATTGGCAGGATGGGGCGGCTGGGGTTGTGTGCAGCTGAGTGGCGGTTACCATCTGCCCATGGTGCCTTACCCTGTCTCTGCCTTCCAGGGCTCTGCATCGCCCTGTGCCTGTGGGGCACCGTGGCCCAGAATAATGGCGTACAAGGTAAGGCTGACTTCTCCTGGCTAACCTTTCCGAGCACTCCCGGCTGCCCGGGGTCTCCTGCCTCCGCCCCCTCCGGTCCCTTTCCCTTGTGGGAGGAGAGCAGAGTCAGGGGTCTGGCGAGCCGGGAGCAGCCCCTTGGTGTGGGCGTCTTGGGGTGGGTTTATAGAGCACGGTGTGTGTGTGCAGGGGAGAGGAGAAGGCCCCTGTGTAGCCCTCCCCTTCCCTTCTCTGCCCCGTGGCCAGCAGAGAATAGACACTGAGGCCAGGGGTCTACACTGGGGGCTGGAGTGAGGGGCAGATCCCCTTTGTAGCCAAGGGCCGTGTTATCGACCAGCCCAAATCAAACCCCTGATGTTAGATGTCAGATGTTAGAAGTGGCATTTGTAGGTGCCCCCGCCCTCTAAAATCGGGCTGAACTGAAACCTGGGACCCACGTGCCCAGGTGGGGGGCGTTTGGGATCCAGACTCTGCGCTCCGAGCCCAGCTCTGCTGCGAATCCCAAGATGGGATTTGGGCAAATTCCAATTGACCCACTGGGGTCCCCCAGTGCGGCACCCACCCTGCTCCGTCTGCTCCCATCCCAAGCCCTGCAGCCGGCTAAGCTGCGCTGGGATCCTTCCCCTCACGCTGGCCAGAGGGACAGATCCCAGCGGAGCCCCAGACACCGGGCAGCTAAAGGATCCAGGAGCCCCCGTAGGCAGGTCACAATCTGGGTCATGGGAGGCAGCTCAGGATCCAAACTAGCCTCGAGCCCGACTCCGCTCTCAGTCAATCCAGAGCAGAGCCGGGCAGCAACTTCCCAAGGAACCATTTTTTGCCAGAAAATGTCAATTCGGTTCAGAGGAATGTTTGGTTTTACTCAGGAAAAAAGTGCGTGGGGCCGGGGGAGATGAAATAATTTTCAAAATGAAAAATTCCTGTTTTCCTGTTGAAAGTGAGGTTTCGATTTGAAATTGATGCTAATGAGCGTAACGACGACAGCAACAAAAAGGAGAAAAATTGGGTGAGATTGAAAATGTTTCACTTGAAGCGACGCCCGGCTCCGGCGGCTCTGCCTGTCTGTGCCGGGGGCTCCCCAGGGAACCAAGGCCCCTGTGCAGCCGATGGCAGCTTGTTGCCAGGCGGTGGATGGCGTCGGAGCTGTTTGCCAGGCGCCCAGGGATGAAAATCAGCGAATGGGGCGTGTGAAAGGAGTTGAACCCACTGTGTGTGTGGGGGGGAGCCGCTCTGCACTGGCTGACCCTGCCCAGCTGTTCCTGCCCCTATAGGTACCACTGAGGACTGTAACAACCATGTGCTGTGCCCAGCAAACGCCAAGTGTGTGAACAACACCCACTGCACCTGCCTGGATGGATACCAGTCACATGGGAATCGCTTCTTCACCGACCCAACGGAGCCCTGTGACGGTAACGGGGTTCCCACATTGTCCGGGGGGCGGCTGGGACAGAGCAGGACATTAAGGGAAGGAGTAGCCAACTCCACTGATTCCAGGGCCTGTTGGGGGGGCTCAGCCTGGCTGGGGAATGAGGGGGGGCAGCAGCACGGGTGAGCGCCGCCTTCCTGGGGATCGAACCGGGGCCTCCAGAGTGAGCAGCAGGAGCGGCTGCAGCAGGAGCCCTGGTTATACTCCCCTCCCCTCCCCCCAGGGATCCAAGGAGGGAGGGAGCAGAGGAGAGGCAGTTTGTCACCCCCCCCAACACACTGGGAGCCTGGAGCCCCAGGGGGACCTCTCCCCACCCTCTCCTCACATAGGGGATCTTGGTGTTTGTGGGTTGAATCCCCCCGTACCTGGGACAGGAGGCTCGGGGGGACTGTTTCCGACATACCAGCAGCAGAAATGGGTAACTGAGAATCAGACCCTTAATCACTAACTGCTCATGGCCCCGGTCGCCTGGGTCCCATCACCCAGCTCAGTGCGGGGAATTGAGCGGGAGTATTGATACTGGGAATGTCTTCCTGCCAGTACTGTACAGAGCGTCCCCTCTCACATTACAGATATTAACGAGTGTCAGGGCCCGAGCCCGGCAGACTGCGGACGCAACGCATACTGCGCCAACGTGGCTGGGAGTTACCACTGCATCTGCAGTGATGGCTACGAGTCCAGCTCTGGGAAAGCCAACTTCATGCACGCGAGTGAGAGCACCTGCCAGGGTGAGCTCTCCCCTGGCCCCCACCTTCTGAGACCCCTCCCGCCCCCCCGCACACACAAATGCTCGTTCCAGGCCTGGCGCTGCACCGGGCTGCTGCCGGCTTTGGCACTGGCCTGAGGCCGTCAGCGAGGCTGTGATGAGACGTGACCCTCACCTCCTCCTGCAGAGCATGGGGCCGGGCTCACACCATGCCTGGTGCTTGGACAGGGAATAAATCCTTGGGGTAGAAACAGACCCACAGAGCAAACTCCTTGTGCTGCAGAGATGCGCTGGGGAGAGGGGAGGGGACCCGCGCTGGGGAGAGGGGAGGGGACCCGCGCTGGGGAGAGGGGAGGGGACCCTCGCTGGCCCCAGCACGCAGCATCTGAGCTGCCAGTGCCCCACTCAGTCTGGAAAGGGGCCCCGGGAACAGCTCTGGGAATTGGGCTAAAGCGTTCTTGAATTCGCCCCTGTCCCCTATTGCTTGAGCTTCCGCCGGGGGGGAGGCAGCCATGCTCTGCTCTGGCCTCTAGGGCAGGGGTGGCCAACCTGAGCCTGAGAAGGAGTCAGAATTTACCAATGTACATTGCCAAAGAGCCACAGTAATACGTCAGCAGCCCCCCATCAGCTCCCCACCCCACTCCCAGCTCCTCCCACCCACTGACAGCCCCATCCATCAGCACCTCCCCCTTCCTTCCCACAACTCCCAATCAGCTGTTTCGTGGCGTGCAGGAGGCTGGGGCGGGGGAGTGAGGGCACTGCAGGCTGAGGGGAGGGGGCGGGAAGGGGTGGAGTGGGGGCAGGGCCTGTGGCAGAGCCAGGGGTTGAGCAGTGAGCACCCCCAGCACATTGGAAAGTTGGCACCTGTAGCTCCAGCCCTGGAGTTGGTGCCTGTACAAGGAGCCGCATATTAACTTCTGAAGCGCCGCATTTGGCTCCGGAGCCACAAGGTCACCACCCCTGCTGTAGGGGGCACGGTTGCTAGTTCGAGGGACCCTCCTGCTCCCACAAGTTCCCTGCATGGGCAGCGGTGTCAGGGGACATGTCCTGTGACTGGCATTGCCAGCCCAGCCCCAGGCTTCCCTGAGGCACCCCAAGTTCCAGCAGTCTGGTGCGGGGACATGGGGTTGGCGTTCGTCGGCTCCGTGTGCTGTCCCGGCTCTGGGAGGGTCGCCAGCCCGGCAGACCTCCATCGAAGTGCCCAGACAGCCCAGAGTCGGATCAGTGGTGAAGGCACTCGGCCGGGTTTATCGCCAATGCAGCCCAGTGTCAGAGCCCATAGATGCCACAGGGACACTGCCACACGTCTGCCTCTGGCAATGGACCTCGACAGTTACAGACTGAGACAAACCATCTGGGATAAATGACTTACGTACCAGCTTGTGTGTTTCACAACATGCTTGTTACCTCCCTCCCCCTCCCCCTTCCCCTTGTGCCTTTCTCCTGCTGCTTCAGACAAAACTTCCCTTATTCACCACCTGGCTTTGTACTTTACTTCTGATGCTTCAGACAAAACATTCCCCACCCGTCAAACCATCTTATTGTGCGCTAGGCAGGGGAATCTTGTGCTGGGATGTGGTTACACAGTCACTGGGTTTTGGCAATGCTGGCAATACCGGTGCCGAGTTCGTGCACCGGACGGTGAACTTGCAGGCAACCCTCTGCTTTGTGACAGGATGTGACTGGTGCCTGGGGGGCCACACTGAGATTGCTCAAGCAGGGCAAGCTGCAGAGTGGGGCCGACAATCCCCCAAACTGCTGGTTAGTTCTGATACTTAGATTCACCAAGCCAGCAACAAAACAGCTGCTCCGGTACCGTGCTGCTCACCGAGAAGCCAGAAACACAGCTCCCGGCTACTTTTCTAGTGTGGCTTTAAAGGGAAAATTTGGGTCATTTAGCCTGCATGTTGCTTAACCCTTTCTGGCTCAGTGTCCCACAGGGCCGGACTTTTGCTCAGAGCATCACTTCTGCTGACTTCGGTTCGGGCCTTGTACCAGGCCCCTGCTCCAGGCTCTCTCTGCTCCAGCTCCATGTTGCTCCCTCAGGGCAGCGCTGTGAGAGGGCATGTGCTGGGACTGGCATTGTGTATAAGCACCGACTCAGGGGCTGGAGCTACAGGCGCCAACTTTCTAGTATGCCCCAGGCTTCCCTGAGACACCCTGACTTCTAGTGGTGTGGTGCGTGGACACATGGGTTGAACAGCTCTGAGTTTCCCCAAGGCACAGGCCGAGAGGTCTCTCTGGGCTCGCAGTGCAGTGGATTTGGAGACCCTTTTGCGCTGGTGAAGCTGGCGCATGTACCAATGCCGGTCCCCTGGCAGGGGATACCCACATGCTGGTGTCTCCACCAGGGAACGCTGGAAGCTGCCAGCTGCTAAATCGCTTCGTGCTGGTCTCTGTCTGTGCTCCCTGACCCCCCGAGTCAGCAAAGCACATGCTTGGCTCCAGCCCTGCCCAGCTACGCACTTAACTCGGCTCCAGTGGGTCTCAAGTGCATGGCTGAGCTCGTGTCGACAATCCCAGGCACTAAAAAATATCAGATTCACTTAGAAAATCACGAGCTTTAGAAAGACCAATGAGCCAGGGGCAGAGTGTGGAGTGAATTGAATTGAAGAGGGGGAAAATTCAAAGAATATACAAGGAAATACTCCTCCACCTGGGGCAGCAGTAGCCTCTGGAACTCACTGCTACCGCGGCCTGGAGGCTGTGAATGTGTCGAGTTTTAAAGAGGGACTGGCTGTTTCTATGGGGAACAACAATGCCTGGAGCTGTGCTAGTTAATGGACAATAATTCTGGGAGGGAGGGAAAAACTCCCACTTCAGGGCTTAAGCCACCCTCCAACTATTAGAGACCAGGTGGAGTCCTTCATGGGGGCAGATTATCCCCCGGCTGCTGCTGTGGGACTCTTAGAGTACGTCTTCACCACCCGCCATATCGGCGGGTAGCAATCAATTTATCTGGGATCGATATATCGCGTCTCGTTAAGACGCGATATATTGGTCCCCGAATGCGCTCACCGTCGACTCCGGAACTCCACCAGAGCGAGCGGCGGTAGCGCAGTTGACGGGGGAGCCGCAGCCGTCGATCCCGCGCTGTCTGGACCCCAGGTAATTTTCGATCCAAGATACTTCGACTTCAGCTACGTTATTTGCACCTTCCTCTGTAGCACCCGTCGCAGATGGGATACCGGGGTATATGGGCCTTGGGGCTGACCCAGGCTGGCAATGCCTGTGTGTTCCTCTGTGATTGGAACCTGAGGGGGATTTCTGCCAAGTCCCAGTGTTCCCACCCCTTGGGCAAATCAGCTTCACACATGGACTCCTAAATCTCCCCAAATCTTGGCCCCACTAGGGCTTGGTCCATAGAGGCCACAGTGGCTGTTCTGGGGTCAGAAGGTCCCCTTCCCTCTGTTATGTTCACGGCACACACACAGTTAGACACAAAGCATCACATCCTCTCGCTGGCAGGCTGCAGCTTAACACAGGGTTATTCTTAGAATCCAGAACCCCAGCACACGAGGGCCCCGAACAGAGAGAGACAAAGCAGGCTGCTCCTGAAGGCAGACGGGCACAACTAACCCCACTTTGCTCTAGGCTGCCTCTTTGGCAGATACATTGTGGGAAACCCCGGAACACATGCTTCTCACCCGAGCCCTCTAGCCCGCAAGCAGGTCCAGGAAAGCCCCTTGCAGATGTAAAGTGAGAGCTCGTGATGCTAACACAGATCTGAATACACCATATTCTCGAGTGGCCGTTCAGCTGCTGGAGTAGCGTAGTGTGGCCTGAGTGTAGCTGAGAATCAGGCCTGTGATTGTTAAGCTCCCGGGGGCCCGGTCGCCTGGGTCCCATCACCCAGCTCAGTACAGGTGGGTGATACAGGAACGTCTCCCTGCCAGGACTGTACAGAGCGTCCCCTCTTGTGTTGCAGATATTGACGAGTGTCAGGGCCCGAGGCCGGCAGACTGCGGACCCCACGCAAACTGCACCAATGCGCCTGGGAGTTACTACTGCACCTGCATCGATGGCTACGAGCCCAGCTCTGGGAAAGCCAAGTTCACACACGCGAGTGAGAACACCTGCCAGGGTGAGCTCTCCTCTGATCCTCACCTGCTGAGACCCCCCCTCACACACACAAATGATTGTTCCAGGTCTGGCGCTGCACCACAGGCTGCTGCTGGCTGCAGCAAAGGCACCGGATCCACTCACTGGGGCTGTGATCAGCCGTGACCCTCAACTGCTGCCCCAGCGCGTGGGGCCAGGATCTCCCCTGCCTCAGTGATTGGATTCGGAATAAACCCCTAGGTTTGCAGGGAGGCGCCGGGGAGACGAGTGGGGCCCTCGCTGTCCCCAGCACACAGAATCCAGGCTGCTAGTGCCCCTGAGCCTGGGAAGGGGCCTCGTGGATGGTCCACATACAGCACAGTGCGCTCTGCCCCCTATGGGCCCTGGGGAGCAGGGAATAGCCCCAGAGCAGGGCACCCCGGCCACCCCCCAATCTGCCCCCTCCCTCAGGGCTGGGAGCAGAGCCTTTTCCAGCCCCACACTGACAGAGCCCCTTGGATGGGAGGGTGTTTCCCGAGGGGGCCATTATGCCCCCTTAAGCAGCCAGGGCGGCCTGACTGGAGAAGGGGCCGGGGCGTTCCAGGCCCTTGTCTGCAATGTTCAGCGGGTAGTTGGAGCTTGTATCAAGTCCTAGCCGGCCGTTCCCATGGAAACCGCCCTTTACACCCCTGTTTGGGGGCACAGAGCACCGGGCCCGTCGAACTGGGAGAACTCAGGAGCCCATTGGTTCAAACGCTTCCCCTGGCAGAGACCTCGCCCAGCCATTCCTGCGCCCAGCCCCCGGCCGCGTGGGATAACCCCAGCCAGTGTCCTGGGGCGGGTCTAGGCACAAGAAGAAATCAGCGCCGCAGGTATCTCAGCCAGCGTCCCGGGGATTGTCTGGGGATAGCTGGTATCGGGAGCCGTGCAGAGAATCCCTAGGGCTTGCCCCCGGGGGGAATTGATGGCGATCGCTGTTCTCTTTGGAAGCGCACTGATTATTCCAGACTAGAGTGTCCAGATGGGGAGCAATTCCACAGGAGCTGTTCCCATCAATTTCCCCATGGACTTAAGCCCCTAGAGACACCCAATCTCAGAGCTCCCTGCAACTCGGAGCGAGTTTGGAAGCCTCGGGACACCCGTGTGCCCGAGGGAGGGGAGAGCTCTGGCCGCACCATCGAGAACCCAGCGCATGGCGCTCCTTCTCCAGCAGACAGAGCGTCGGAGCTGGGGAAAGCGCTTTGGAGCAGCGGCTGTGCTGTGGCTGAATGTGTGTACAGTGCCTCGCACCGTGGCTGTGGCGCTGCGCACTATAAATATCCCAGTTGAACCAGGACAGGATGGATAAGGACGCTGGAAGCTCCGTTCCCATCCCGCATGGACTCTGGGAAGCCTTTGGGGGCGGAACCCGATTGACATCATTTCTGGAATAAAGCAGGTTCTGGAAACACGGAGCCGTTCTCCTGCTTTCAGGAGAACCTGCGAGTGTCGCAGGGTCGAGGGGCGGAGGAGGCAGCACTTGGCAGGATGGAGCCAGTCGGTTCTTACAGGGTTCAGTCTGCCCCGGGAGCAGCTCAGTCTCTGAAGAGGCAAAGCCGTGGCGCCAGCCAGGCTCAGACACAAGTCATGCTGGCACTTGCACAGCACAGACGGGATCAGAGCTGGGGCCCATCTAGCCTGGTATCCCGGCTCCAAGGGGCCAGAGCCAGATGCTGCAGAGGATGGAGGAAGAGCCCTGCAGTGGCAGCCGGGGGATAATCTGCCCTCACTTCTTGGTCTCTAATACTCAGCTGGGCTTAAGCACCACAGCACGAGGTTTTCTCTCTCTTCCCAAATGTCTATGCCCTTCAACTATGATCACTCTGGCTGTTCTCATCATCCATAGGAATGTCCAGTCGCTCCTTGAATCTTGCTAAATTCTTGGCCTCAGGGACTCCTGCACAAAACAGCCTTTCCTTGGCTCAGTTTTGAATTTCCCCTCTTCTCACTGACCTGACTGGCCCTTGCTCTCATGTTATGAGATGGGAAGAACAGAAGCTCCCCATCTCCCTTCTCTATTTGGGATTTGGGAAGTGTCAAAATGTAAGCGGGAGAATGGTCCCGCTATTGTGTGGAACTTTCCGGGCATCTGCACTACCCCGGTGAATTGGGCTAGCGAAAGGATCTGAGTCCTCGCTCCCACCTCCTTTACCCAGAAGCCTCCCTGCCCTTGATGACTCCCCTTCCACTCTCCTGTCCGGCAGAATCCTCATAACCCCGACAAGGCTGGGCCTAGGATTCCTGGGGGGCTCAATCCCCAACCCTGCTGTGGTCACCTAGGACAGGGGCTAGGGTGTCCCCACTCCAGGGTACTCTCTCTGCACTGGGCACCTCCCTGACCCACTGATCATTTCATACAATTTCACGCAAATACAAGTTGTTTAATTAACCATTAATTTAAAAAAAGAATAAGGAAAATGGGAAAGGTTAAAGGAAAACACATCACCTCCATTGCAGTGCCCAGACAGCTCAGAGTCGGATCAGTGGTGAAGGCGCTCGGCCAGGTTTATCTCCAATGCAGCCCAGTGCCAGCGCCCATAGATGCCACAGGGACACTGCCACACGTCTGCCTCTGGCAATGGACCCCGACAGTTAGAGACTGAGACAAACCATCTGGGATAAATGACTTACGTACGAGCTTGTGTGTTTCACAACATGCTTGTTACCTCCCTCCCCCTCCCCCTTCCCCTTGTGCAATTCATAGTCTGTTCCTTGTAGGTCCCAGATTTCCTTCTCAGGCCCTGGCAGTGCTGCAGGGATGCTGCGGGTTGGACACTTGCAATGGTGGTGGCCACACGCCTCCAGGTTTGGGTGGTGGGACCCTTCTTCCAAGCGTCAGCCCCAGTTGGGTTAAGATCGCCCTCCCAGTCTGGCCTTCAAGGGCCCTTGGCTGTGGGTGTCTTTCTGTGCTGGGCCCTTTGCCCAAGGTCCCCCCTTGGCTGGCCCCAGTTGCTCACCACACCTGGCTCTGTGGCTGCCGCTCTGCTCCCAGCACTGGATCTGCTCTCCCTGGGCGGCGTCTCTTGCTCTGCTCCTAACTTTGACCTGCTTCCTGGGTTGCTTTTCTGTCCCCTCTGGATCTGGCCCGGTTCTGTTCTCCAGCTCAGTGTGGGCCCCTGCTTTCTCCTTATCTCGGCCCCACGCTGACTGACCCAGGCAATTCCAGCTCGCACGGAAGACGGGACTCCTCTGTCCTCTTGACTCCCTGATTAGCCTGTCCGCCCTGTCAATCAGTCTCCGAGGCTGAGGCTGACCTGGCACATTGGCCTCTCCCCATTCTTTCAGTGCTGGGAGCAGCCAACCAAAGCGCCCCCACTGAATGTTAGTAAGGGGGCGACACTCCCCTTACATCCCCCCCTTGCTAAAATTCTGCCACAGCCACAATATTCACACCAGTACATCCTGGTCCCATGGCAACAACAGAAACCCACATCACGTTATATCACAAACCCATTAACAATTATCAAAAGAACATTTAACATATTTAACATTCCACATCCACTTCTTCATACTATATATAACTGTATTCATTAAAACACTCATAGAACCAATAACATAATCATCTGTAAGTTTACCAGGCAGTACACCCTCATTAGCTCGCTGGGACCTTCTTAAGACTGGTGGTTCCTTACCCATATTTTCTATTTCCCTGTCCTTGGGTAATACTGGGTCAGTTTGAGGGATCTGGCCATTCTCGTTAGGGTTTGGGTTTACCCCACTGGTTTCAGTCTCCTCAGGAAATGCTGCCTACGAGCCCTGGTCAGACTAATAGTCCAACGCTTTAGCTGGTCCCTATGTACTACTCTCTCAGGACCTCCTTGTTCAGGCTGGATAGCGTACACTGGCAGTTCGGGATTGTTGTTGGCTCCCATTTGTCCTTTATTTTATTACATCTTCAGTGTGTATGGCTACGAACTGATACACAGTCACCAGATCTGATGAGAGCCCCACTGGACTTGCGATCATAAGTCCTTTTCCCACTTTGGGCTGACTTTCGTTGTACTGAGAGCAACTCTCCAGCCTGTCGTGGTGACTTTGGACCTGGTCATCATAATTGGTCACCTCATCCTTAGAAAAGACTTCTTGATGCTTCTCTGGCAATGCCCTTATGTTAGCCACCTGTGCAGGAATCAGCCCTTGGCGTGCCGCTTGAACTGGAACTGGCAGTCTCCCATCACATCATTCTTGGGGAAAGGTAACTCGTCCTCCCTTCTCCCTTGTCACCTGCAGCTCATTTCCATTCTCCCCAAATGTTACCTTCACCTGAGGGATCACCTCCTCAGGTTGCAACTCCATAGCCGTCATGCTTGAGTTTAGAAGACTCACTGGTACCCTTCCTTTGATGGCACTAGTCAGTACATTGGCTGGCTGTAGCCCATTAGGTAGGTTTGACCCAGATGTAGGCTCTACGAGAGCTCGATATCTATTGGCATTTCCTGGTACACAGCAGTGTTCATCAAGGACCGTCCCTCTCCAAGGAGGAATAATGGTCTTCCGTTTTTTGCCCTCTTTAACATTTCCAATCTGCCTTGTGGGGTCCAGGGAATGACTCTGCCTCTCCACTCAAGCCAGTACTCTATTCAGCACGGCATTCTTCGTAGAGTGCTCATGACGGTTCATCCTCCTGGTTTCTTCTCCTGTAAGAGTAGCTCCTTCAGCTCACTAATGATGTCATTCCTAGAATCCCTGGGACTCCTTCTCCCATATGGCTCCCTTTTGAGGCTTTGTCTTGCAATATGAAGATGCATTTTCCTGGCAGTGTCTGGCCCCATATACTCTATGTCTTCTTCAAGGCACCCCACCACTGGGATTGCCAGTCCATTAACAGCTGTTAGACATACAAACTGTGTGCTGTGCATGGTCAGCTCCTTGTCCTTTAAACATTTTTGAAAATGCGACTCAGTAATGGTTGTGAATTCTGAATCAGTATCTAACAAACATCTGGTCTTCACCCTGCTATACATACTTCAGCAGTTAGACAGTCTCCAAATGCTCGTGTACAGAAGTCGCTAGATATGCTGGCACTGCCCATGTTCCTCTCAACACTGTATGCAGAGGGATTTTCCATGAAGGACAGGCCTAGGAATCCTTCTGCCACTGCTTGGCCTTCTACTGTCGATGGACCACTCGCTCCTGGTGCCCCATTGGTTTCGAGTGCTTGGGTCTCTGTTCTCCTTCTCAGTGGACATTCTTGGCTAGTATGTCCTGGCCTTTCACAAGTGTAACAAATGTATCTTCCCAGTTCGTCCTTCGGTGGGGCTCTTCGGGATCCCGGTGCCCTTGGATACTTTGGCATACTAATGGGATTTTTTTCTTTCATCAACTCGGTCATCACTTTCAGCATCTCCCCCTGTTGGACCACCAGTTTTTGGACAGCTTCACTTAAGCTTCCAATGTTATCTCTGTTTGCGGGAGGGCCTTTTCCCCAGCAGCTGCATTCACTAGGCCCCCACTTCGTGTATGGGGGTTAGGCTTGGCTGTCTCTGCCACAGGAACTTCCTCTTCTTCTGACCACATAATGGCAGCCTGCATGAGTTCGTGGAACTTCTTACTGGGCTCTTCTTTAAACCTCCTCTACATTTCACGTCGGAGGGAGTCGTCCCGGAGCCCCAGCACCAACTGCTCTTTTAGAATCATATCTGGGTCTGGAACTCGTCAAGGGCATCGCCGCTCCACTTTGCTCGTTCTCTCCTGGAGGTCATACGTGTATGCCCGGATAGTTTCACCGGGCTCCTGCTTTCTCTCAAAGAACTCCTCCTTTAGTAGTACTCCTTTAGCTAGGGCAAACCCACGGTTACGGGGCAAAATAATCCCCGGGGTTTAGCCAGGAATGGAGGCTGTCTACCCCCCTTCTCTAGTTTAGTGTTTGTTTTATTTAGGAGACGTTCTTATTAAAGGGGGAGGAATATGTTGTGTATTTGGGTGTCGGAGTAATAGAATCTTGTGTTGCTATGGCAACTGAGTTAGATTATTAGGGGATACCCCAGTCAGTTCTGGCTCGTTTTTGGTTAGTTCAATGTGTGGCAATAAATGGCTGCTCCAAGGTTTACAGCTCTCTGTGTCTCCAGTGATTTCTTCCTAAAACTGTTGCCCCCAAGGATATAACAAAAAGGGATTGTTAAAAAACAATCTCATGATTTTTAAACCAATCTTGTGACTTTTTTGCAGTCTGGCTCACGGTTTGGGGCTTTTATTGATTGCTTGGCATTGGCGATGCTGTTAATGCACGGCCACTGAGCTTACCCAGGATCTCTGAAACAAACCCGCATGCCTGGAGGGTGAAACTAACCACGTTGCCCTGAGGTCTCGCTCTTCCTCTGCACCACACAGGGGCAAAGTGTCTGTTCTGACTCCCAGCCTGTCACGGGAAAGAGAGAGAAGGGGAGTCTGAGACAGAGCTGCTGGAACACGGCCCAAGGGAAGGATCCGTGAGCGCTCTTGACTCTCCCCGCTGATTGACTTGTTTGCTGATGTCCAGGTGAAGGGGATTTTAGACACAAGGATTTCTGTGAGAAGCAAAAGCGGTATGGATAAATATCAGGGAGCGCTTAGTGGCCGGAATGAGTGCGTCTCTGCATGTACAAGCCGGGTCCCTAGGTAGAAAACCCCGCTCCCTGCATGGGGTCAGTGACCCGCTGCACCATGGAGCCCCGACATCCCCAATCCCCAGCAGCTGGCGCTACCCACATTGACAGCCTGGCAGGTGCACGGCGCTCCAGCGTTTGGCTAGATCACGGCAGGACTCTCTGTGCCCGGGCAGGGCAGGGCCCGTCTGTCAGATCAGACTCTCCACAGCGGTGAAAGGCCCCAGGAGCAGGTGAGCACAGTACAATCTCCACTGTTTGAGGCTGAATTGGTGACCCTCTGGGTGGTGACTCCGGCTGGGGCTATGCTGGGGGTCAGGCTGGGCGGGTCATTTCCAGCTTCGGTTTCCACAGGCCGGATCGGCAGCGAGTGTCGAGCTGGCGTCATCCGTCCGAGGGCTCGGTGGATTCGCCCCGCGGGGCCCTGGGCCTGGGGGTCACAGCAGGGTCCGGGAATGGACGTTGTTGGGCCGCTGCTCACTGTGCAGTGTTAGGAATAGGGGGATC